ACTAACCTAACCTTCCATTTTCCGGGGTCATCAGTTGGCACCGGATATGCGTAGGGGAATAAAAACGTTGAATTGTACTTCGCCTTGTCACCACAAGTCCTTTTATGGGAAAATTGTATTTCACTGCTACCATGATCATAAATGGAGTTTTATTGCGTGGCGCATCTCAAAAGGGTTTGACAAAGCCGAATGCCTTATCTTTGTTCTTATTATGGTTTGCTGTCCTTGATGCTGGCCATTTATTATAGGTTGAACCGAGGATTCTGCGTTCTTCTGGCCCTGTAAGCGCTGAACCAGTGTACGTTGTTGGCATCTACAAAGACAAATCGGAGCTAGTTGGACAAAGTATGTTGATTTTGCACCTTGTTTTCTCGTTTGTCTGCTTTAAACAGAAACTTAAGGTGCTGGTGAAACACTGAGCATTGCTGCGGACATGGCTGCTCGTGAAGGACTTCTGCGACTCTGGGGAATAACGGCAGATAGGTTGGCGAATTTGTTATTTATGCTGCTTTGCATCCTATTTTCTACTTTTTCTATGTTTTTTCTTTCGATTGACATGGCCTGAGATTTTAGAGTGTTCTTCTTTGGGCGTAAAGCTGCCGAAGCATCTCTTGAAGAGTTTTCAAAAGAAAACTATTACTTGAAGGATCGCTGTAAGCCAAGGTTCGTCTATTATGGTTTCATCCCACTAAAAGAAAACCTTGGGTTTTTCAATTTTTCGTATGGTGTAGATTACAGTTCACACCTGCAAGTCTGATTTTAGTACGGATACTTCTGTGGAAGCTGTGGTTGACACCGAACCGTTGAATATAGTCGAAGTGGCAATGCGTTATCGCGAGAAAGTACAATCAGTCGTGGGATTAAGCTATACAAAACGATTGCGGTGAGTTATTTGCGTTACTCCTTTTGGCTTTGTGATGCCGTCTATTCTTATTTTATCAAATGCTTTATCTTTCAAACGAATTGGACCGATTTGATATATGTTATGTTTTCAGGCACAAATTCTCTCGCGGATCCTTAGCTAAGAGGTCTTTCCGGTACCTCGTAAAACCGAAAGTGTACACAGTGTGTTAGTATCACTTCATTTACTTCGTATGCAAAGCCTTCATCACCCTTTTGCATGCCAGGTTGTTATTAAGTTGTATCAAACTTGCTATTAATTGTTGATTAGTTATGATTAGTTACTTTGTTCACGGCAATAGATTCTTGTTCACATCCATGATCGCTTCATCTGCTCACTGTAATAAATGAATAATTTGGTCATTTGTTTTAATATGTCATTACTATTGTTTGCAAAAAGGGTTTCCCGTCACCATCACTACTTCTTCTGATTCGTTAAATCTTTCAAATTTCTACTTCTGAAGCCAATTAGTAAGGGCCGGGGTTCATCGCAGAGTAGCTGACCATGTTTTACGATTCGGGGCTTCTATCGGCTTAGATTCTCTCTAATGGGGTGCAGACGAAACGCGAATGAGTGTAGAAGAGAGATAGAGCAGATATGTTGAGGATATAAGGATATGTTGCGCCGCATAACAAGAAATAAAAATGCTTGTTTACATGGTCTCTTAGTCAGACACAGTACAGCGGTAGGGCAAAAAGACACCTTGCCCGTATCTACGAAAAGTTTGCTGATGTGTACCAAGGACAAGGTCTCCTCTTTCGACCCACCCCTCCGCCTGTAGTTTCCCTTCAAGGAGGAGGGCCACACCAAGGTAACGAAAAACCTCCGGGCTGAAGACACCAGTGTTTTCTGATATCACGCCCATGCTTCTATGTCCCCATATATATCCTTTCGATCAGGCACCGTGGATTAGCATGCCCCTGGTATCTGCACAGTCCTTATTCCAAAAGTTTTTTTTCAAATGATTTTGCGACAACGACCCATGGCGCGCTGGTTTGCTCTATCTGTCACAGCGTGGGAGTGGGTTTTAGTTTCTGATATGAGAAATGTGTGAGCGAAGGTTCCTTTACTCAGATCTATCTGAGCTTTGTTGTCGAGCACATGCGGGGCTCAGGGGATTTACGAGAATTAGCGCGCTTTCCCGTACATCTGAAACTTTCTCACTCACCTCTCTTCTTTCGGCCTACAAAATGGTGTCCCATTCGTGAAATGACATCTCAAAGGTCATAAAAATAAGATAGCAAAACATTTGATCATTCTGCTTTTGGTATACGCCGTGTATCTGACTGCAATCTAGAATCATCACGCCATTTGAATCCAGTGACCCTTGCAGTAGGTCACAGAGATCAGGCGATGTGAAGGTCAGTTTTTCATCCCAGAGAAGATCTGCCCTGATTGCCCTGATATTGAATGACAGTAAGAAAGCTCGGTTAGCTTGACGAGATTCGATCCGAGATTCGACACCATACCGGGGCGTGGTAGCACACTAACCAGATTTGCACCACAGATGTGCTTGTATTCAACAGTAACATTCTCATTGTTGCTTCACTTTTCTGAGCTGATGTCCACAAAAAGAAGTGCAAGTTCCTTTCCAGAGTTGCCAAAGAATGGCCGAAGAAGGTTATGACTCGTTCGACGACGAAATTATTATAACAACTCCTAGTGTGATCGACTTTCACAACAGCTCAGAGGACTCTTTTCCGCCAACCCCTCCTCCAGTTGATGGTAGTCAAGGTATGTAAGATATGAAAAAAATCAAGTTCTCCAAGTGAGGTGAACATAATCTTGACTGGACCGACTTTACGGACGATTGTCTCTCCTTATGTCTCCGGAGGGTTGTTTGAGCTTCAACCTCCACAGTGAATAACTCAAAAACAGTGGTAACACATTGACGACAACGCGGGGGATATATATCCCGCGCATTGCAGGCCATGTCGGACCGTGCGGGATATATATCCCCCGCACCCATTACACTCATTTTTTTCGCGCACGCCTGATTCTTTTAGAAGTTTCTTGTATTCATTCCATGGAAGAGACCTTGACGTAGCTACAAACATAGTGGCCCTTAGAATGGTCACGTATACTTTAATTTAGAGGAGGATTTCTGAACCATACGAAATCTTCATTTCAATAAATTTTTCGTTTACTTTCTCTTTTTATTAATATGAAGATTTAAAAAGTAGTAGAAGTAGATAAGGAACTTTAGGATGACAACATGTGTGTTTTGATTGGAATAATCAACGTAAAATTACTTTTAAGGTCCATTGCAGCTAGTTCTGAAAAATTTCGCTTTTTCATTGTTATTCCATGTCTTTCGATCGAAATTCCACTACTGTACCCCTGGTAGGTTGCGCTCATTACAATTTACTGATTTGGTTTTGAATTGATCATTAGTTGTGTATTTATCACTCAAAATCTGCTTGAACGACCTGAGGCGAGCGCGCCCGCAAAATCGCCGCGGTCCCACGTGGCCAAAAAAGCCAAAACTCGCATTGTCGTCAATGTGTTAATTGCCGGCCAAGCCGAAACACTTTATATGCGAATGCGCCGGGTCGGGTCCCGGTACACTTCCGTTCCGGAAGTGGGGCTGTTTCCTATATTTGCTCTTAGAGAGGGTTGATTTTTTGCGCAGTCTGGTAACTATTCCATTACTCATCGACACCCCTCGTGAAGATCGACTTTTCCAGCTGAAATGGCAACTCAACGTTTAAACATTATGAAAGTGAAGTAAATGCTGACTGCAAGATCTCACGGCATGATAGCGCATGCGGATATTATTCAGATTTTGGTCAACAAGGATGTATGGAAACTAATCACAATTTAGTGGTGTTTCAGCTTCGCCTGATCGTGCTGCTCCTATGGATGACGACGATGATTGTAGTGATCCGCCGCCTACCCCGCCTCCTGGTATGTTGTTCGTCCAAATGTGAATTAATTCTGAAGATTTCAAAATGAGAGCGAACATTCATGCCTAATATGTTGGATGCTTGCAAAAATTCCAGCTTCAACTCGTAAAAGAAAGCCCATAGTAGAGAGTGACGATGATGAAGTGAACGATCAATCTGCCCGCCAACTCCTCCGCCAGCTGAATGTGAAGGAATTTCAGTTATTCCTATACTGATTTGAAAAGGCTTTTTTTTTTGAGAGTTCTTTTCCAGATGAGCTCCCTAAGTCGATGCACCTCGGATCCGCTATTCGATCTCGTGATGGTTACATTTCTGAGCGATTCACCTTCTCAAAAAGCTCTCCAGCTGTTGAAGGTATTCACGACCTATAGATTTGCTCTATTTGACTTTAAAATGAATTTGAAAGGCTTGAATTTTTTTGGGAAATTTCTACGTTCTTGGAGACACTCGTCTTGTAGTCGTTTTGTCAAAAAAGGTTCATCTAAAGAGAATGTGAAAG